ATATATATATCTGTGTGTGTGTGTAAGGACATCAAACGAACCCCTTCATATTGGCTCCAAGGTGGTTTTGCAGTGGCCATCTCCAAAACAGTGCACCCGAGGCTCCATATATCCACCGCGAGGTTACAACTGCTCGAGTTTGTTATGACCTATATGCATATATGCATGCAATATCACTGTGTTTAATTTAGCCTAAATGAGCAGAATCAGGAAATGAGAATTGAGCTTTGACCAACCTCAGGCGCCATCCAGTATGGACTTCCCTTGAACGACAATGGACAGGAATGCCCAGTTATCTACGAAATTTAGAAACTGGGTTTAGATTATCACACTGGTGTCAACAGCATGAATTTTTTATTGAACATTGATGGTGTAATGTTTTCAGTTTTCTTTTACCGTAGTGGAAAAACTAAACCACCAACTTCTGGATGTCTACATTAGTTGCATGGTTGACAAAAATCTTTGTTGGAAGCAATCAATATACATGTGATGATATATGTTCAAATATTATACTATATCTACAAAATATGATGTGGTCCATTCCGTGTTCACAGTAGAAGTAATAAATTAATTAAGAGGAGAACTCACATGTTTTGCCATCCCAAAATCAGCCAATCTTACCCTCCCATTGGGGTCAACAAGAATATTTGCTCCTTTGATGTCCCTGACCGAATAACGTACGTCCAATTATTATATGAATGTAACTTACAATATCATAAACTTTCAGGTTCACGATGAATTTAAGAGTTGTAAACCACGTTACACAAGAAAAGAATCTATTGCTTTAAAAGTACACACCTATGAATTGTATTTTTGGCATGCAAATAAGCCAGCCCAGATAAAATCTGTTGGGTGTAGCTTCTGATTGCTGCTTCACCCAACTGCCCGTAATCTTGTAGAATTTTGTGAACAGAACCACCAGATACATACTCAAGGTATATGTATAGTTTGTTATCTACCTGCAGATAAAATACAACCAACAGAAAGGTAAATGGAACTTGGACCTCACTGCAGAACCTGAGAGCCTGTAATACCCTTCATTCAATTTTGTGCAACAAGGAATTGAAGCATACAAAAAGGGAAGAAAATACAACACAGCAGGAAAACAGTTGCTTCTAACAAGAAACTTCTCTTGCAAAATGTTCTACATTAACCGAACGGATGAAAAATAAAGGATCATGCTACACAAACATAATGGTTGACATAAACTTTGACATAATACATATGTGGTACAATCTTGTGATTTTACACATCACATAATCCTTAGAATCAACAACTCCAAATACATACACATCATTATGTCAACCACTGTGTCAAAAAAAAAAATCCACGAATGGAGTCAAACCATTATGTTACACTGCAGGAACATAGCAATAATGGAATATAGGAACTTCATAAAAAGAATCAAATAAAAGCAACCATGCAAGATGTATCGTTCCAACTAAAAGTATTTCCATCAATATATAAAACTAAAAACTGCAACATGAATGCATAAGACATACCATCTCTGACCCATAATACTGCACAATATTTGGATGACGTAGACGACTTAAGAGTAAAATTTCCTGCAAGAACGATTTGAAGATACAGAGAGATGAGTCGGTTTAGCGTAGGAAACAGGACATCTAAAACAAGAACTCCAGCAACAACCTTTGGACTATCTCTCTTTTCTGATGTTAAGAAAACATGATTTAAGACTGTAAAATAGGGCTCCAGCCAAAACCTATGCTCTGAACAGAGTAATATGATTTGATAAAAACTCACATGTCCAAGTTGCTGAGCACTTTCCTTCGACTTAGAATCGTCAGAGAACAATGTAACCTCCTTCATGGCACACATCTCACCACTTTCGCTGCAGAACACGTACAACGACAAAGCACAGTCAGAAGGAGGCAAAGACGGCACACACAAATTAAAAAGTTGGTTTAAAATTATTTCACCAGTGACCAGTCACATCGAAATGCAATCGATCAAGAAAGATGCAGTTAGATGTTAAAAATACAGAAGGTAAAGCTACAACATCCTAATTAGGATCAATTGTAATGACTTATGCTATAACTATACTATAGGAGGAAACATAATGAATAAATATAAAAAACACCAACTTACTGACTCACCTATTAAAACCCAAATAAACTTGTCCAAATGTTCCTCTTCCAAGTGGTCGTCCTTTTTTCCAGTGTGAAGCAGAGCCTGAAGGGTTATCAGTCCTACCAGGACTCCGTGGAAGCTTTGGTGATGTCGCTGGTGAATAACATGGAATAAACGGAGAAGGATTACATATTTGCAGTGGAGGTAGAGGCAATGGGTGGCTCCGGTTCCTCCCGTCATCGGGCCGGGCTGCAGAAGGCTCAGCTGCGGTTGCCCCCGCCGGAGGATGACGAGGCGAGACCCCACCACTATGTATCCTCGAGCCAGGACCAGGGCTCATCATTCGAGGGCTGGGCACCGGGGAACACTCTGGACTACACCTGCAATTCGGCCAAAGGAGCTGAGAAGAGATATCTTCCGTAAAGGAATTGTTTCGGGAATTGTGTACAGAACCAGGGACCGGGGACTGTCCAAGTCCTTGTAAAGGTACTTCTGCATGCTGCATTCCTGGCCAGAAACCATGTTCTGTGGCCCGCTCACAAAAAAGTCTTGATGGGCTTCTAGAAGGACTTGAAACTGAGCTGTCTGAAGTATTTAACACAACACCCGGATGAGGCTGTGAACAAGCAACTTTACAGTTCACATGTCTCTGTTCAGGAGATATGGGACAAGCTCGATAGTTCAACAAACTATAAGCTGGCTTCACCATCTCTCTTGAATTCCTCAACCTACATCAGTTTCGATATATATAAAAACAACACCTCAGTAATAAAATTAAATAAACAGATAATTTAACACTTCGGTGGCAGGCAGCCTCACCCGGAAGGACTGGTGGTTTCCAATCTCATTCCACCCTCATAATCAGATGCTTGAGTGCTTACGAGACGCGAGTCACATGGACCATCAGTATCACTTAATGAATCGCTAGAGTCGTATTGAATAGCCATGTTCCTTTCATCAACCACAGCACATGCCTTACATTTTACGTGTCCAGATATTAAGAGACAAGGGGAGGGTGAGTTTCTGGGACCCCCATGAAGTGAATGATCATTACTGTTAGCAACATGAGTACCAGGAAGGGGAAGTGGCTGGGCCTTTTGACAAGAACTATGACTGCACAACACTTGTTTGGACGGCAATAAAGAAAGGGGATCTGCCCTGGTTTGAAATTCCTTTTGACAAGTAGAATCACTACGCTGTCTTCGAAAAATCCCGGGCCGAATGCATTTCCTGTGCACTGAGGAGATTATATTCTCCACATTCAATTTCTTTTTCACGTCTTTAGGCGACTTCCCCCACCACAAAGGCATGATGGGTATAAGCAAGGAAGAATCACACCAATTGAGTTACTGGCACAAACAACACAATGCAGCTACCAAACCTGCCATCAGAAACTGGCAATTTAAAGTCAAGGGAGGCAAAAATATGGGAAGATGCTTTGCACGGTATTGTCAGATAAGATGTGTGAACTTATTGCACCGCGTACACGAAAAGATATGTAGTTAGGACAACCAATTAATAGAATATTACCAAAGACAGTAAATTCCTGGTGCATTACACATGCTTAAGTAGCATTGGTCTGTTATGAGATTAGGCATCTGAAAATGTCATTAGTTTGCTAGAGAAATGAGAAATTATAAAATAAAATAAAATGAAATAAATGATCAGTTACAACTTTAGTCTACGTGCATGGTAATCTGATGATCTCTGAAAGATAATTCGGGAAATTGTTTCAGATATGATAACGACCATAAATGATCGTAAAAGCTTAAATATCATTGGGACATTATGTGAAAGTATACAATAGGTGGCTTCTATGATTAGATCACAGATCAGAGCAAATGGCGAGACAGATATCGGCTTCCTCAGATTACTTAAATACAAAATGCAGAAAAGGCTCACATGATTTTGCTCATCAAAACTTAAAATCATTTGGGGCACATAATTTTTTTTTTCCCCAGAGTTCGAATCATAAATGAGATGCAAATCTAGATCAATTCAATGATTTCTTTTTTTTCTTTAGCTTTAACAAATCACATGAGCAGTACAGTACGTAATCAAAATATTTGGCTCACACGAATATGAAATTTTCTGCTTTACTGAAAACACAAAGTTGGACTATATATGTTTAACGAGTTGACTTTATTCGATTTGAATGTCATAAAATCACAAACCAAGGAATAATTTTCACTATGATATATTTACACCTACAGTGTATTAGCATCACAATCCATGGATGCATATGAATTGTGACTGAATTTATTTTGCTTTTATCTAAACATATAGTGGCATGCATTCATGGTTAACGATAAACTCAACACTGGAACTGCATACCAACAAATCAACACCATCTATTTTGAACAAAGATCCAAGGATGAATCCCAACCTTTAAAAATCTCAATAAAAATAACCAAAAGAAATCCATTTTTTATAGCAGTGTATGTGCTGATATTGCAGGTGTGCTTGCCATAATGATAAAACATATGCCAAGGAAGCCCATCGAGAGTTCATAAATGCCAACAAGAATCTGAGAATCAGTCAGCACCAATCACTGGCGTTCGCAAATCTGAGATTGAAATAAACAGAAATGTATTGACAAATGAAGCACCGCGACGAACCTTTATAATCAAATAACGAAACAAAAAGTCGAAGAAAATGATATTTTTGCAAAAAACCGATGCCGAATTCACCTGATAAATCGAAAGCTACGCACGCAGCTTATGAAACTAAAACAATCAAACTGAAGCATGCTAGACGTAAAACTAAAACCATTACTATCCAATCCCCATATTAAGATTTCAGGGAACAAAATAAAAAATAAATAAACTTTACACATATATCGACGTGAAAATGGACTTCAGACCTCCACACAACGCCCAACAACGTCCCAGGGCCACAAACTTGCAGTAGAAAGGGGAAAAACGCTACTCAAAAGGAAAAAAAAAAATAAAAAATAAAAAAATGAACAGCTTCAAAAGCATAAATTGAGCTCTACAAAATTCTCGAACATAAAGACACAGATTAAGCTACTGCAAGTTAAACGATATAGATTGGCAAGCGCGCAAAAATTACAGGGGCTACATTGTTCGCACGCGGTGAACTAAAGCAGGGGAAACATAATCCATCGACAAATTACATGAACCTACAAGCCCTAATTCTTCGTTGTAACTGTACTCACCTTTTTGGCCTTGCTCGCATAATCTCAGTACCTCTTACCAAAGCGTAGCTATTTGCAGAAGAAACAAAGGGGTTTAGAGAGAGAGAGAGAGAGAGCGGAGTATCTGTATACATATA